TTTTAAGGAACTGAAAATGTTAAAACCACAGAGATTATATGAAAAAAAGTTCTTGGTCGTCTACCATGAGATGTCATGTTTTTAAGGTGATTTTTTTGCTACTCTCACCTGGGATTTTTTGAGCGATTGAGATGTTTATGACGATTATAGCGAGAGGTTCCGTCAGCATTTTTTGGCATTGAAAAAGCGTTACAAAGGGAAGATGAAACCCTGTCACATGAGCATTTTGCTGTAGGTCAGCAGTGAAAGAAACTCTCAGCGGTGTAAAATCAAGATGTTCTTCAGTAGAGTGAATGTTAAGAAGCAATTACCAAATTCTATTCAAGAATTTCACAATATTTTAGAATTTTCAGATACTATATGTGAAAGGAAGAAACGTAATATCATATATTCAACTTGTCAGTTTGCATTAAAATCCTGTACTTTTTATCCAAAAGTTCAAATTTGTTTGCCAATTTTTTTAATTCTGTTTTACGTGATCTCAAAAAGACTGCTAAAAATATTTTTTGAGACGTGCATCCACGTTAATTTCTTTATTTTCACTGAAAATAAAGATGAAGATGATAATAAGGAAATACCAGAGAACAAAAATCTGGGTAGGATATTTATTATTTAGAAATGTTTCAAAACTCGACCCAACAAATTGAAATTTTAAATGACCGAACAATTTTAATTTATTTTCCACAAAATTGAAGAATTGTGTATATACTGTACAATCCAACATTTAGGTATCAGAGTGTCACCGTACTTTATAATGACCTAGATCCGATTTGTATCAGCCAAAAATGTTATTATATCTACAAAGTCGACAATAACCCAATAAAATTACATAAAAATGAATCAGAGGTGTCTTTCTTTAAAATTACTTTTAAAAATAAAATAAAATATACTTTAACATATAAGTCAATATTATGACCCAAGATACGGATATAATGTAATATGTCCCAAGAAATATTCCAACTCGAACACTGGATGTGATAGTCTCGGCTATTTTCGAACTATTCAGAAAATTCTTCGAGAGTGAATTCAGAACGTGTAATATGCTACAGTTAAATTCTTTCCGCTAAATGAAAATGTAAAGAGAGATGACTAACGACGAACTTAATCCTAGACAAAAGCAGCTGCCTGAGGTTCAACCTTCTAGGGGTACCCCGGCCGAATCTGGCACGAATTAGTATTTGACATTGACATACAGTTCATGGGAGACAATGACTTTTTAATTAAATAAAAAAATCCTACTTCATTTTTTTTTCACTTAACTAACGAGTACTATTATGGTTTTCACACATTCATACTCTGTGAAGTCTGTTCTCTGATATATGATCTCTAATTTTGTTTTTTTGGTATCGAATTCGACTTCGCTCCAAAAGAATACTTTGTAGGTATTGTGTATATTGTCTTTAGATTTGATACAATAATCCAGTGAGTAGAATATTTCGGAAATGATTCATAAAGGCTGGCACAGAAAACTGATTGATTGACTAGTGATTCCGCGTGCGTTAACTGCTAAGGTCATTAGTTCCTTATGTATCACGGGAGGGGGTGATCTTCCCCTGGCGCTGGCTGGCGTAATCCAGCGCTGACCTACCTGGGGTTTTCCTCAACATTGTATCTCCCACCAGCGGAGCACTTCCCCAGCCGGGATAAGTTCTAAGCTCCCGACCGATCTCGCGGCATGTGTGGTAGTGTAGTGCATGTAAGTGTGTGTGCAAGTAAGGGCTGAGGATTGGACAAGGAAGAGGAAGGAAAGATCGCTTTCGCTCCGTGTCCTGTTTTTTAGGGAACTACTCCGGCATTCGCCTTATGTTGATCGAAGAAGCCACGGAACACTACCGCTCACAGCTGCCAGCCGCTAGAATTCTCAATCTCCAGCTATCGGCAAAACGGCAAAGGCACTATTTATTGCTACTTTTATAAGGAAGACCATGTCGTGTGATTGTTTATCTCGTCTCACTCTATGTTTGTCCACCGCGGCTCCTTTCGCCCACTGTGCGCGTCGCCAGCAGCCGTCGGGCGACCGCGGGCGCCGAGACCGCGCGAGATAAGCTGCCCCGCCGTCACGGCTGCGGTCTGGGACGCGTCACCCACTCAATGCACGAGGAGCGCGGTTTCCTGCACCTCCACTGCCCCTCCCCCCCACCCCCTCCGCGTGCCTTCCCCCTCCCCTCGGCGCGCCTTCAATGCATGCACGGAGCACCGCGCCGCCTCTACTCCGACACGAAACAGTGATTTTATCCGACGCGGCGACACAAGGCGAAGGAACAAGCGATGTCATTCGGCATCAACGTATGTCCTACCGTGCTAAGCACAAAGGTGGTATCTGCTACTGAGCTAGAAGGGAGGAATAGAATTGTAAATTTTAACAACGTTTGTTAGTTGATCCCCAATTTATTGAACTGCTGAATTCATAACACATATTGCAAATACTTTTTTTTAATAATGGACTAGATATCGCATTAAATGTATCACCTACGACCAAATAACCATTGTAATCTACTTAAAAATAGCGGATACCAATTTATTCAAAATGATTTTTTTTAATACTTCCCATCTATTTAACCTTAGTTTTTGATAGGTCAAATTACAAAGAGCCAATAATATTTCAATTTGACGAGAAATGCTGATACGACCTTTGTGGTTAGGCCGGCAATATAAAATTTGCATTCTAATGCCCCCATTTAGTACCAGGCGCACGCCAAAGGAAGAAGGTCAACAGTAGATCCCAGAGGGAAGAACCATTAGAAAATAATTGAAGGGGGTTTTATAAATTTAAGAATTAATACTACTTTATTTAGTAATGTATTACACTGTGAGTCGGTTTTAGTTCTCGTTATAAATGTTTTAAAAAATTATTGATATTTCTCCATACATTGGACCTAACTTAAAGGGTTTTCGATACCTGGATTACAAACAATAAACAATATTTATCCTCGAACTGCAACGGTTATTAATATTATTACCTACGAAAAATATACAATGATATTTACTAATCAACCGTTCGAATGTCTTCCAAGTAATCCAGCGTTTTGCCGTCAAATTTATTTTGTATATGAGTCCGCGAAGTCGCCTCATAAGGTAAACGGGATGCTATCTTCAGTTATGAGAATTGGGTACTCAGCTTTTCTCATCTTTTGCTCATAACTAAATTAAATGCACCACGGCTTCAAAAATATAACATTACCACCGCAATCACCTGTGCATTTCCGATTTATTTCTCCAAAATGTGTTATCCTTTTACCGCGACCGCCTCAGATAGCTATCACGTAACAAAATAATATCTACCACAACTACTAAAAATGTATACCCTTTGTTGTGAAAAACTCTATTTTAAAACTCATTCACACATAAATACAAAAAGGAAATCATTCAGATATACGCGCATTACCTTTTTTATGGTCATTTACTTTTAAAACTCAATATCGTACCATACAGCTTTAAGAACATTCGTGGCCTTGTCATGTCAGTGCGTCGAATTTATTAAATGTTCACTTCCCTTGGGAAGCGTTGCCAGCAACTTCGCCAGAGTACGCCGCTGGGGCTCCGCCGACCTCCAGAAATTATGAGCTTGAATTGAAATGCGTTGAAGCAACTTTTCAAAGACGAAACAAGCACGAATCTCGCTTATATTTTTATACTTTGTGACGGTGAAAGTGTTCTTTATATGCAACGGGTCTTTTGACTCAGGTATGTTAAATTAAAGTAACAAGTTCAGCACATTTCGTGTCAAGAAACTCGAACTACAAAAGAATGTAACATTTATTACACTTTTATTTTCATGTGCGCTTTTGCAATAATATTTTAATTGAGATTTATTTTTCCTTCTCCTTAAACTACAGAACTTTTCCAGCATTCTAGGAATAAAGAGGATGTTTTGAAACTGTAGCTATATAATTGAAATTCTTGGTGTGCTTGATTTTTGTAAAGTTACATATTGAAAAATCTATAAAACTTGTTAAAATATATTTTTCTTGTTTTCAATTCCTTTTAGAATTATACAGTAATTTTAACTTTGTTTCCTATGTTTGAAATTGCCAATGGTGTTTGTGTTTGCATTGGGCTATTATATGTCCCATAGAGGGCAACTTCTAACGAAGATAGTTTCGTTCCCGTCGAGGTGCCAACAATTAGCCTTGTGTGTGCTAGCCACTGTGCTAAATGAGCCGATTGGTGATGTCTGCCAAAATCGATTTTGTAGGTCGACTTCTCTGGTGGTTGGCATTCATTTATCATTTAGCCTTTAAAGAATTTCACTAGATATCGAGTTATAAATAAATAGTTTAATTTATAAAATCATTTGAAAATAAGTAAAATTTGGCTTTTAAAAAGAATTCAATTCAATTAAGTTATGCGTAAAATAACGTGGCGAGACTCCAGCAGTCAGGCCTGCTCTTCCGTCTGACCATGCAAATTTCGCCACTCTCCTTTCACCATCTAGCGGAGAACGAAGGTATCACGCGGGCTACGGAGTAGACAATTTTAACTTACCTCAGTGGCTTCTTTTAGGCTTGAGGATCTTTTAAACGCAGTAAATCTACGACATGGGGGAGTAGGCCTTACTTGCCAACCGAAAGAAGTCGTACGAAGGATTTTTTCGTCCTTTCTTGCTATTATTTATATTTTTAAGAATGGTTATTTTCTCGAAGGTATCGAAATCGCTAATCGAAAGTCAACTTGCAAATAATATTCACAAATATTAATATTTAAAAACAACTTTGATTAGTATACTTCTTATCTATTTTTATCGTAATTTACGTTTGGTATTATGGATTGAGTGTCATCAATGAAGAATTCGGGAGAATGAATTTCTTTTACAGATCTGTGGGGTAAATCGAAGTATTTTAAAATTATAAAATAAATATATTGGGGAAATTATTCATTATTCATCTCTTGTTAACTGTTCATTGCAACAGATAAATACTTTGTATATAATGCGAATACGAGCATTTGTGTATTTAATCCATTGCATTCATCGTAAAGTAATTCTATTTTTTTCTTTGCAGTTCATCCACCAACGACCTTATTTCTCGTCGTGGCGTCTTCAGCCGAAGACATTATGGCTCCGTTGAATTGGTGAGTCGCGCCAAAGCACTATTCCCTGCTTAAAATATTGACAAAATTTAGAATACACCTTGTGTGAATATGAGGTTAGTTGTTACTCAAGACTAGAATTTACATGTTATGCCCTCGTATTTAAAGTAGATTTTTCATAATAAATAAAATACATTTCATTGTTCATATTGAACAATAGTATGAATAATGGGAATATTTTTTAAATCCATGTCACCAAATATCAGAAAATTCAAAACGAGACATAAGGGTTTTGAGAAAAGTATTCTATCTTCAGTTGTAGGCGAATCTAAAAATGTAGAGCATATATCTATAAGATAATTCAAAAACAAGTGTAATATTTTAAACTATGACAGTAAGAAAAGATATTGTCTCTTCATTTATTTTGTTTTGTTTCATATTATTGTGATTTTCTTTTTTTTAAATATTTTTCAAATTATTCAGCCTAGTGAATTTACATTGCGTGTTACCTATTGTAAAGAAAGATATTCACAAACAAAAATTAATATTAAACCTTCAATGTTTCAAAAATATAATAAAATAATTAATTTTCATCTCCAAGATTTTTCTTAAATAATCGACGTTTCTATTGCAACAATATCTTAAGTACTGTTTTATTTTTTTAATATCAATTTCTTCCTGTTCAATTTTCACAATTTTTCAGATTTTTAAATGAGAGAGATTTTACATATATTTTTGGCAAGATACCAAATTTAATATTATGTTTATAATTTTTTACTTATTGTTGAATAATTATCCAAACTACTGATTTAAATGATCTGATTTGGCCCTAGCGACCGCAGAATTGAAGTTTATATTTTAAACGCCAGCGCTGCCATGTTTCTGAGATCTGAATCTAATCCAATTGAATTTTGAATCTCGATTGGTAATTTTTTGTCAATGTAATAAAAATTGGTTTTCAATGTGATTGTTAAAAATAGCAAGAGAATAAAATGTACCATTTCGTAACTATTAATGTAATACAATACACAGTCGACTCTGGTTATAGTGAGCTTCTGGCGACTAATTTTTAGTTCACTTTATTATAGGTTCACTACAAATTTAATATATTTTCTTCTATGATTGATTTGATTATTCTGAACGTACAGTTTAAAAATTGTATATCACCACATCTTTCTCAAATTAAAAAAAATCATATTTTGATACCATCTTGGAAAGATTTTTGTTGTAAGCATGTCAGTTTAACTCATTAAAAACTTGGTACTATAGTTTCTTTGTTAGTGTTCGTTTCAAATTTCCAATGCCCAAGAAAGACAAGCCATACCTTGGTAAAAAACTTGAGCATAGGAGACTTCACGTCAGTAAAGACTTCATGCAAAAAATGTAAATGTTTGGAACACATTCCATGAATATATTAGTACGTATTTATTACTTTATTCCGACTTTTGGAAAATGGCATCACCGGCCTTCAAATGGGCTGCACTGAAGCGCGTGCAGGGTCATATCCAAATAAATTTATGGAGATTAGCGACTGGTATTATTTTGCATGATTATCCATTCATACTCCCCAATTGCACTTCTTCTTACAGCTCACGTCTTTAAATATATTAAGCAAACCTTTACATGAACACCTACTTTACACTATTTAAGCATCTCTTTAAGTTACAGTACATGCAATGTTTAGAAATCATTTAGTACAATTTAATTTCTGTCCACTCCTCTCTTCACTGAACGGAATAATCTTACATTATTGCCTAAGCACAATTATTTTCGTTTCATGATGGACATTCTGCTGACATGCGTGTTCAAAGATATGTTACAAATTTATGAGCTCTTTTATTTTGTTTGAAATATTCCTGTGTTTATTGAACTTTCTATAGGTACCTGCGTGTTTTATTTTGATTTATTATGTTCTCAAATTGCAGCAATCACTTTCAGAGAGGATTCTGGGATGTCATTTGATTTCGTAATTAATTAACTCTGTGCATAACAAATTAGTTCGGCAAAATTCATCCAGACCTTCGAATATGTTTACCGCTTGCTAGAGAAAACAAAAATTGTGGGTGGGTAAAAATGTGTTACACAATCCTTGGCTTGACATTGAGAATTTGAAACTGATATTTTTAGAAAATTAACAATGCCACTAATCGTTTTAACATTCGAAATTTTGTACAGTTTATATTTCATGCTGATTGAAGATACATAACCAGCTATTTTCAATGTAATTACCATACAAAATTTTGCCAAAACGTTATATTTTTACAACAAAAAAAACACACCGTTCATTTGCGTGAAAAAGAAAATACTGATTTGAGAATTAGGACTACACGCATTGTGAGTTAAAATCACGCGAATAATCGTAATAGCTCCGGCGGACACATTTCGTTTTTCATAAATGTTTTTCTAAACTACTAATAAAAATACTGTTGGAGAGCTGACCGCCAGGGGCGCCATTGCAGCTGCCGCAGGTGGAGACGGACGGCGGGGAGCTCAACGGACGGCGCTTCCGGGTGGAGAACGGAGAGGCGCTGGGCGAGACGGAAGAGGTAAGACACTCCACCTCCCTCCCAACAAGCATTAACAGGCGTTTCCATGAGTTTCAGGTCTGACCAACATTACTATTATATTATTATTATTATTATTATTATTATTATTATTATTATTATTATTATTGTTGTTGTTGTTGTTGTTATACCCCGTTACCATCCCGTAGAGGGCAAGGGCCTTCAATTTTTCGGGTGGGTTACACAGTGGTAGAATTCCCGAGCACCGAATACGGGAACTCCCTTGTACATGCAATATTTACACACAAAATAAGAAAATGTAAACACAAAATAAGTAACACTATTCATTTTTACATTCTAAAATTTAACACTGTTCACTCTGACTTCACTACTTCAATTTGATTAGCTATCGCTTCATCTTACTACTTTCTGCATTGGCACTTATTAAGTTAGTGAGAAATTGAATAATCTAGTGTAGTTCGTTCATTTTGTTGGGTTTAGACATGGCCTTCCACTTCTGACGATCCTTTGCCGAGGTAGACCATTGGCTGATAAACAGCGTTTTCAGTTCGTCTGACCGCCTCTTCTTCTGCTTGCCGTTCTCTTTCCAAGTCTTGGATCCCAAACGGTCGCTCATCATAGCAACCAAGATATCGCTCATCAAAGCGAAAAACTTCTGAGCACTTTATAGTCTTATCTTTAATTTTTGTAATGCTAAAAGTTTGCAGCCGAGATCTCATTCAGTTTTGTGGAGAGAGGTACTTGAGTTGGATGGGATGCGTGAAATCGGATGGTGTTCAGCTGCTTCATGATAACGCACCTGTACATACTGCTCAGATTTCACAAAATATTATGAAGGACTATTGCTTTAAGAAGTTGGACCATTCGCCCTACAGTCCAAATTGGCTCCCAGCGACATCTTCCACTTATGAAAACCTTTGAGGAACAAAGGTTTCAGACGAGCTTGAGGAGAAAGAAGCAGTTTTTGCCCATTTTGCAAACTCGGAGTATTTTTTCAAAGGCCTAGAAATGTTAATACACAGGTGGGAAAAGTGGGTTGGAGTAGAGAATGATTAAGTTCAAAAGTACGCAATTTTTTTCTATATCAAAAATAGAAGTTAGTGAGGTCAGAAACGTATGGAACCAACCATGTAAAATAAATAATTATTATGGCAATGCATGAAAATAGTCGGTTAGCATTGGTGTGTGAGAGCAAATTAGAAGAAAACTTGTGACGTTGACTGGCGTATTCAAACAACATCCAGTGATTGTGGCTCCTGAAAATGAACAATTATTTTGTCAGCATATACAAGCGTTGCTTGCCAACTCTAAATATTTTAAGAACGATATTATGTGTCACCTGTCTTGACGTTTTTCCACGCGTTTTACCAAATCTCCGCGTGATTCACGTCAGCTAGGCCTCCACGCTCTGGAAGCATGCGTATAGCAATATTTGTTCAAAGAGCATACATTATGTGGCCAGCAAAGATTGTAAATAATGCACTCAAATGGCAAGCAAGTGCTCTTGACTATGCGAAATTACTCTCTGCTCCGTATACCCAACGCAATACGACGACCAGGTGATGCTCTACTAGCGATTCAGCAATGCAAGCGAACGTCACCTTCTTGTGAATTTTTGTTTCTGGGATGTTTTTAACGCGCTCCCGGGACAGTTCTGTGCCTTGATAGCAAAGGTGCGAAGTATTGAAATGAATTTTCGAAAACCTTCAGTGGAAATTATTTAAAACACATTCACTCACAAACACAATTCTGTACACAAAGTGCTAATTAAATGAACGACGTGAGAAATATTTAAATAAATACATTTGTGTAATTTTTGAAGAAAAAAAAGAAAACATAAGACGGACATGTATGTCATTTCCTCTAGTCCATAAAGACCATCCATTTAAACACTTGGAGCCATTTATGAGAAAATAGCGTTTGAGCGTTTTCGAATATGCGGAAATTTGAGCTCATTTCCACAGAAAAAATTTGATTTTTTAAGAAATTTTGTAAGACATAATTGGAGGCACACGAACTCAAATGCAATTATGTCCAGCTAGAAGGGAACACCGCCACATCCCAGGATATAACCTTCACTACGGTTACTTGTCTAATGAGCTACGCTCGAAATTAATACCCACTCACTCGCCAATGACAACAACCGTTCCCCCTGCAATGTCACTGACGGGGAAGGTCTAGGGTTCGGGACTCGACGGAGACGCATTTGAACTGCTGTCTGAAGAGAAAGTTTATTGCCGGTTGCTCTGATCGGAAGTATTCTGTGATTTTTCGGATCTGTACCAGGTGCAGTACCCTAACAAACAAGCCACGGATCACGCACGATCTTCCCTTCCTCATCTTTGCCCCCTCCCCCTCCCTACATACGCAAACGTACAAGCACTCTGCAACCAAATGTAACAAGAGTTGGGAACTTAGAGCCCATCCGGCTGTAGCGGTTCTCCGCGGGGCGAGATAATAGAAAGTCGTGAATTTCTATGTACTAAACTCACCAAGTCTTCCAATTTCCCTTCGACGTGCATTTCCAAGTTGATCTTCGGACTTGACGATGTGGAACAAGCTTTAAATTGATGAATTCATCAATTCTAACTTATCTTCATGTTCACACACATGTCGCAAACACGCAAGACGCCTCACATTCACACATTGGCGGGCGCAATGTGGCTAATTCGCGAATTAGTAGGGTGATTTTCGAAATGAAAAGTTCATCATCATTCGTACAGTGGACATTCGTTTCATCCAAAACGCCTTGCTAATGTCCTTATTAGCCACACGAATAATTTGATAATTTGCGAATTAACCATACGTCGGTCTTGCGGCGTAACTTACAGTGACACAGAAAAAGTGAAAAGAATGTCTTGACGCCTTTGAAATTTAAAATATTGCATCAAGGTAATTCTTTATTGATGCTCTTCAGGTAATTCATCGAAACAATATTTGTAGACCTCATTTAGTAAAAGTGATTACTTTCAGGACATGCAAAGCGTGTTAAATATCAGTTTTAGCACTAGTACTACAAGTGAGGTGATGCTCAAATGTTCAGATAAAACTGTGAATGTAACAAAGAAATACTTTTGCCTGATCGCATCCGCTGCTACTGACATTGTAATTTGTAACATTCTGACATGTTTCATAGTAATTTATATGCTTTCATTAAAATAAAATGAATGCCAGTAAGGCTCTCTAAAAAAAAATAATTTATGACACACGCGGTAAAGTGGTTTTCTATTGCTCTTCGGATTGCGTCACTCGATCTATCGGCTGCATGTCACAATATTTTCTATTCGAAAAATAAAATGCTACTTTTACCACTCTTATGATAAATAATTATTTTTGCTTAAAACTCAGCGCTTTGGTACAACTTGTCTCCTGTCACAAAAATAACTTGCAATTAATCTCCGTTAGAGAGTTTCTGAATGTTGTGGTGTAGCATTTGTTCTGGAATTCATCTCTGGATGCAGAATTCCGCTGCGGGCGGTACATGAGTTTGCGGTGCGACTGTCGCAGTGGAGATTGAAGTGTCAAGTCCTTTCGAGATTTAAAAATATATCGCCAAAAACCGATTTGTGTGGCGAGCGATCGAGATTTTACTGGCCATGTTCAAAAGGCGATCAATCTGAATTCAGTCAATATAAACTCGAAATATCTGTAGAATGAAAATTATTTTATTTTTGCATCAGTTTTCAAGTAGGATTCCTTTTAATTGGGTTTAATAATTTTTGTATTTATGGCAAGAAAATTTGTACTCACAACATTACTTCAACGAATGAGCTGTTTACACTTTCAAAATAAGCTTTGTTGTTATCCTGTGTTCAAGAACGAACAATTTTTTCGTCGTGCATTAAAATTGGCTAAAAGTATTAACTGTGATTTACAAAGCACATATTTTTTACTGCTTCTGCTATAAACAAACGAATTCAGTTGTAGGTCTCCTCGTTAGAAATATTTCATTAATTTTCTTGTATTTTACTTTTTCAACATAGTTCCCAGCCTTCTGATAGGTCAACTCTGTAATTTATATTTCAGACGTCGGGTGTATGTATCTAGAATTTATCATATTTCTATAAATTCCAAGCGAAAACAAATTTAACATTTTCAGTACCGGTGAATTCGAATGAGTTTTGTTACTTCTCAATTTTTATTAACTAAAAATTATTAGAATCCTCCTGATTTCTATTTAAAATTAATTTGTTATTAATGCGAAAATTAACTTCCTTTACAGATATTTGGTTCTCCTAGTACACCTGTTCTTGAAAACCCTGAATATCAAACCCGATGGTACTTCAAGTACTTCCTGGGTAAATGTAAGTATAAACTTAAGGCTAAGCAATAGAACAGTCTGTGAAGTCTAGAAATAAGAACAACTATATCATTAAAATAGGTTCAAAATATTCGTATGATTTTTTTTGATTGATTAAAAGGATTTCTAGGATGTTTGCAAAGGAAAATTATAAAAATCATATTAAGAGGTTTAATATCTGTACAATAATGCACGTGTAAATAATTTGCTAGATTATTAGTAATAATAACCCCAATTACATTGTGACAAGTTCTCTTTTTGACTCGATGGACAAAAGAGTAGACATATTGACTGATGAATATGAGCCCATCAAATGCTGTATTACATCTACTGATTGACTAGTTAATTGTCTTCTACTTAAAAAACAAAAGTACGTAAAAAACAAAGCATCTAAGGTTGGGTACAGACATAGAGGAGAGATACAAGATTGTATCTCTCCTCTATGGGTACAGATTGCGAAGACTCAAATCTGAATATACATTCAAAGGTGATTGAGGCTCATTTAAAGGCTTCATTATTTTTTAAATTGAGTCCAGAATTAATATTATTTATGTAAATCACCAATAAAATTTTGTTCTTTAATGGATGTATGTGATGTTTTGTTTCATTTGTTTACACAGTGTCCACCTTACCGGATTTTTATCTTATCGATTGTAATGAATTGGATTCTCTATGTATTGATTAAATGTTTTCAAGTTTTTCTATTTTTTTGTGATACATTGAGTATTTTTTTATTTAAACCTCAATTGTTGCTGTCTGTTGTTTTCAGTGCACCAAAACTATGTGGGCTCCGACAACGATAAGTCTCCGTTCTTCCTGTCTGTTGTACTTACGGATGCCAATAACCAATGCGTCCCTCAGTATCGCGCCATCTTATGGAAAAAGACGGTAGGTAGACATTGAATACAATAATTGTAGAATTTGCAATAAAATCCTAACCGACTTCTATTAATTCCTGAAACAAAAGAAAAATGTTGAACCTTCTTCCAAGCAATTTGAAGAAGAACGTTGTCTTCAAAATTAGTTCAAGAAAAATTCACTTTAAATACGTTCATGATAAGCTATTCAAAAATAAGTTATCAATAAGCATTATATTTCAGAACTTTGGAGCTTTCTTTCAAATCTAATAGCAGGTGATACAATGCGTATCACGCTAATATCTGTTTATCAATAATGAGATATCTTCAAAGCAGCCCTAAATCCTGTTTGAAACTCGGGTGGGCTGTCGTGTCACCGCGCTTTGTTGTCAGTATAAAAAGTATGAAACTACTGACTTCTTCGTAATAAAAATAAATATTTGCCAAAAATAGTTTTACTTCCAATTGGGATTCTATAGGAGCTGGTGTTTACCAGCGTCTCTGAAAATGTGTGGAAGAAATACACCCTTTTATACAGCGTTTATCAGGGACCTCCTTACAGATCTGAAATGCATCCACCCAAAACTGGATCTCTCAGATCGTGAAAATCTCATCCCTCTACATAATTCTTCTCATAGATGTCTTTGGAGAGTGATTGCCTTTTTGAACCTCTGGTACAGATACGTTCTTGACAAGAGAGCTTCAAAGATTACATTTGTACATTTGTTTTCAATTATTTGGAACACTCCTCAATAGGCCAGATGTTCAGTCTTTGTTTTCTCTCTTCATAAATATTGGTTTTGAGTGGGTAGGTAACAGAAACATTTAGCGCGATGCTGTATAAAGTGTCCAACTATGTTGAATCAAAGGGACAGTTAAAAACATAAAATTTCCCATTTGCTGGATAAATGAACTGCTCTACAAAGTAGCACGACTATCATTCGTGTCACTGTTTTGATTGTGATATTTTTGAGCCGTCATCAGATAGTTTGACTATCTCTATGTGAAATTCCAATGTACCTCTTAAGTTTCACCTTTGAAATTCCTAAAAAAATTAAATGATGGTCATTCAGATTATTGGAGACCATTCTGTCTCCAATGTCATGCCGCAACCCACTATAAACTTCGCCAACGTTTTCGTTCACCACTTTTCCCCCTTGTGGACTGGACCCTTGTGGATGGGTGGGTGGGTAGGTATAGATAAATGAAAGGGGCCGTGAAACTTTAAGCACGTTTTATACTCCAAACTATTTAATATGATCTTAAAGAAACCATTCTATTTTAATGATTGTTTTTGAAATTTTCTATCTGATTTTCCATATTTCCTCCATATGCTCTTCTTACATATTATGTCTTATGTTTCAGGGGGCGCAGAAAATTAGTCTCACGTATGCAGCTAACAAGCCCATGACTGTGAAGCAAATTCTAAGGTAATTGATTCTACCAAAACGCATTATATATTTAATTTCTCCAATCGGTGAGACCTTAGCAATTTTATGACCTTAGCCTGTTATCCGAAAAAAAATTGTTTCATTAGCAATTGAGTCAAAAAATTACACAAATAATGTTGAGAGGTGGTATTTTATGGTCTAATTTTTTGTGAAGTCTATACAAGTGACTCGATTCTTTGATTCGATCTTTCTAACTGAACGTATGGAGAGAGCAAACTCTCTACACGGTTATATTCCGTACAACCTCGCCAAACAATTATTATATAAATATTACAATACACATATTGGCGTATCTGCTGCATGACAGTTTTTAATGAATATTTTGAGAGCTGTCGATGCTCGAATCAGGGATGTGAATTACTAGCGAGAGAGACCATTTGAATACAAATTCTTCAAGCATGTGACGCACGTAAAAGTTGTACATAAAACGTGCGTTGTCTGAATTTCATGAATTTCAAACACAAATTATGCGAAATCTACTAATTTTTTCAAAAAATTGTACAAAGCCTTTTTTAAAGAGCTGTTTTTTTACAACGGACGTTGTCTATGGCAAAAATCACTGTCTTCAATTCTGTAGTTTTAAAATGTTGCCTTTTTGCAATTTTCGAAAAATTGGACAGATGGACGAAAATGGGATTAGCAACATACCTTTTACCGCCCCCTATTAAATATGAGAACATATAAAGAAAAACAATGAAGCAGTTTTTAAATTCTTTAATTGTCTATATTTCGCGCAAAATTACATAAAAATACTCACAGTTTTGAAAAATTGAATTTGGTGTCAAGACATGTCTTTAGGAAACAGATTTTATTAAGGAAAAAAATCTCTATCTTCAATACTTTAATTGTAAGAAGACGCCCCCAATAATGCACTTTCGCAATTTCCAAAACAAATCCGGGTTTTCAATGAATATGAGATCTGCGCCCTTATCTTAAGCGTCCTTTACGCTGTCCAAGGATAAAGTTTAATAAAAAAATTGGTGTCATTTTTTTTTAAATTGAAAATGTTTTTGAAGCTTCATGAAGCTTCAAAAAGTACCCTCAAAACTCAAAACATTTGGTTATACTCTCAACTCCTCGAGTTCGTTCTGATCGATCAGGGACGGATGGACAGGCAGGCAGGCAGACAGACAGACGTTTTGAAAACCTTCGCATCAAAACTACTCATATTTTGAAACAATGGGTCGGCCGATATTCTTCTCCCTTCGGTTGGTAGTTCATCATCTACATTGTGGAATACGATCTTCCCTCCAATTTCTTCGATCATGGGCGCCGCATTCTTTCCTGTTTTCTACGATTCCTTTCAATTTATGTTGTATATATCTAGTTCTTTTACGGATGTCCTCATTTCTTATCTGGGTTTTTGTTTAATGCAGCCTTTAACTTCGCTAAGAACATCTCAATTTCTTGCTGCCTTGGACGCTACTTTGCGGTCTCTTTTTTTCATTATCCACGATTCACTTCCATCCAGGCAGAACTGGAGCAGTCATTGTCTTATAGAACTTCACTTTTGTGTCTTTCCTTGCTTTGTTCTGTTTATTATTCCCCACTATTGATTGAAATTTATTAGTTTTATTTTCTATGTCTTTATCTGTGTCATAACTGATGTCACAACCAAGGTAATTAAAAATTTTGAAGTCTGGTCGATCACTGTGTTGTCAATACTACTTTTGAGCGTATGGGGTATTTACCGCAATGGGCCATAACTTTAGTCTTCGTTTTAGAAATTCGGAGATTACTACTCTTTCTCTTCCCAGTTGATGCAGTGTGTATACAGCTTTTTGCAGATCATCTTCACTTTCTTGCAGTATTGTTACGTCATCTGCATAAAGTAGAACGTTTAGGTGTTTATTCTGCTTCAACTGTATCCAAAACTAGCTATGCACTCCATTTTTAATAAGATCATCAATATATATATATATATATCATATATATTATATATATATATATATATATATATATATAATTGAATAGTGTTGGAGATAAACTACATCCTTGTTAAGTCCCTATTTATTATATTTTTCAGTCTTCTTTACTGCCAGATTAATTATAATTTTTGTCTCGTGATACATATTTTTGATGGCTTTTATGAGGTGTTCAGGTAGAGCCACTTTCGTTATTATGTTCCATAGCTTGTGTCTGTCCACGCTATCAAAGCTTTTTCGAAGTCAATAAAGGCTACATGGGTTTCCTATTTACTTCTCGTCGTTTTTCTAATATTCTTTTAAGACTAAAAATGTTGTCGTTACAAGAGCGTCCTTCCGAAATCCCGATTGTTCTCTTTTAATTTAGCCTCTGCTATAATTTTCAATCGAGCGTTGATAATTTTTTGCAAATACTTTATGAAGCGGCATTCATGAGGCTGATACCCCCCATGTAGTTTAACACATTCATTTTTTTACCTTTTTTAAAGATAGATATGACCTCTGTTATTTTCCAGCTATTGGGTGTCTTACAAGATTCCAGCATTCGTTGAACAGATGAAGCAGTCTAAATTTCGTCTTAGGGGCCTGCATATTTATGAGTTCCATGTTAACTCCATCAGGACCACATGCCTTCCTGTTTTTTATACTGTTCAAGCTTGCTTTAATTCACTCAAGGAGATTGAATCACTGTATTGTTGTAGCGAAGCTCTTCCTCTTTAGGTTCAACAGTTCCAGTACACAAAGTGTTTATTATAGTGTTCCTTCATTGTTCTTCATTGATTATGCGTATATCTGCAACATCTTTCTCCGTCTGATTTAAATGTCTTAACTCTTTGTAGCGAACATTTGTCTTCCATGTATATCATGTTCGATGGTAATTATAAATCTATCCATGAGTCATTATGCAGATCTTATATTTGTTTAGCGTTATTCATTTTTTGTTTATATTATTCTTTAGCTTCTTGGGTTTTGTTTTGAAGGAATTTTTATATGATATATCTTTATCTTTTATGGATTTCGCTATACAATCGTTCCATACTCTCAGTCCCTTTCTTTTCTAATGCTTTTTTTCTTTCCTAAAGTTTCATATGCTGTCTCTATGCATTCCTTTAATATTCTGCTTTCCTTATCCAAATCATCAACAGTTGGACCACTTGGCAGAAATTGTCGTAATCGAATTTGATATAGTCTTTTTATGCTTTCTTGTTCAAGTAAGTACACTTTGAAAATTTCCTGACTTGTCTCTTTCCTTGTCTAATTTTCTTCCATTTTGCTACCCAATTGCTATTGTTGCAATCACTAGGTAGTGTCTGAATATATATCACATCTCGGTGTACTTGTTACATTCTCTATTTGGTTACTAATTTTATCATTTGCGATTACATAATCTATCAGTGATCTGAGGCCTCTGGCACTCCAGGTGAACTTGTGTATTCTTTTTTTCCTGAAAAAGGTAATTATCAATTTCCAACTTATTGAAGGCTGCAAACTGTTAAGTTCTTTCTCCGTTTTTATTTAAAGTGCTCTTCTCCAATACCCCGACAACTCCCGGAATCGGAATGTTACCAACTCTGGCGTTTAGGTCGCCACAGACGAGGATTATTTTTGTTTATTTTTGCTTATTTGTTTTTGAAGATCGTCATAAAACGTCCGTGTGTCCTCTTTCCTTCTTCTTCTGGGGCATACATGCCTATAAGTTATTAGTGGCCCCTCCTATTTTGAATTTGCACGTCACAATTCGCTCACTTTACAAAGGAATACTCCACTATCCTATTTCCACCTCTTGTTAACCATAATTGCTACCCACTACTTGCCCGTCTATTTTGAGTTACTCCACAGTAGATCATCGTATAATGTTTTCATATCTTTTTTACCTTTTCAGCTGTTTTTTGGTTTCGTTATCACAGCTAATTCTATCCTTTTTTCTTTAGTTTGTTATCTAGTTCTTCTCTTTATTACCTAGCCCTCTGACATTCCAGGTAGCGTAGTTTTAGTCGTGCCGTAATACCGAATCGTTTATCCTTGCATGCTTAAGTCGTTTCCATGATCCATCCAGTTTGTTGCATTGTGAATGGAGCCAGTCATAGTTATTGAATCCCTGGACGCGTTACGAGCGCTGTGCAGGTTAATTTGTAATGGGGCTGCCACCTTCACAGCTTCCAAACATGCCGGGTGGTATTTTGGCCACCGACCCTAGGCGGATTGCCTTGTGGCTAAGAGTTCCGCCTAACCCTTATCGAGGACAGTCCTCGCCGGGTGCGAAGCCGAAGATTTCTACGTCCGGAACTTTCTCTTCTTCGTTTCAGGTCTCTTCTTTGGGGCCTATTCTAACGCCGGTGTCCTCTA